TCGAAAAATTGAAAGCTAGAACACTGCACTGTTTTGTAATCTTGATAATGTCTTTAATATCTGGTTCAATAAAAGAGACCTGAATTCTTGTATGTTTTACTTTCTTGCAACATGTTGTTTCAGTTGAAGTATACAAAGAAAATATGGCTTTAAGGGAGAAAAAATATTTTAATTGTCTTTTGAGGTAATCATGGTTATTCTTCTTTGATACTACACCAAAATTCAACAAGTGGCATGTTCTTAAAGGTTACTTGCAAGTGTGGAATCAGAATTGTATCAAAGAACAGAAGCAAACCTTTTATATTCTAAAAACTTAAGCTCCTTTGGTTTATCTTGAACTTCTGTATGTGTGGTGGTACTGAAGTTTGAACTCAGGGCCTCATGCTTCCAGGCAGGCACATTATCACTTGATCCACACTTGAGCCCTTTCTGCTTTGGTTATTTTTGTGACAGGGTCTTGCTTTTTGCCCAGGCCAGCCTTGACCACCATCCTATTTGTGCGTTCCTCCCTAGATGGGATGACAGGTCCATACTGTCACACCCAGCCTTATCTGTTGAAGTGAAGTCTTTCCAACTTTTTTACCCAGTTTGTCCTCAAACTGCAATCCTCCTGATCTCAGCCTCTTGCATGGCTAGGATGGCAGGCACACACCACTGTACCTAGCTATTGGTTGAGGTGGAGTCTCATGAAGTTTTTACCAGGGCTGTCTTCCCAATTTCAGTCCCTGAGTAGAAATGATTACAGGTGTGAGCCACCATACCCAGCTTATCCAGAGCTTTTATTTATTTATTTATTTTATTTTATTCATATGTGCTTATCCAGAGCTTTTAATGAATCTCTTTCCCATGAATAAGCCCGTAACTTGATATATTAGTCATTTTGAAATACTGATTCACTGAATTATAGAGATCATCCAAATTCAATATGCACCTTTATATATATTTCCATTTCATAAGAGTATTTAAAAAAACATACTCAAGAGTGGAGATTTAATCAAATTAGTGATTTTTAACTGTTTCAGTGACATTCAAATAAAACTAACTTTTTTAAAAGTGAGAGTGTATAGTAGCAAAGAATACAATGACTACTAGCTAGTTTAGTGCCACTGCCTTCATTTATGCAAAGCTTTAGGTCATCAGTTTAAATATCAACAGACTGAAAAAAGTAAAGAGTAAAACATTTTTATCTGAAGATTCCCTGAAGTCGTTTCAGATACCACCAGGGAACCATAGTCCTACACTTTGAACTGCTCACATAAAAAGAAAGGAGACAAAGCTTCTAAACAAGAGCCTTTGGGCCGTCAAATAGTTGACTTAAAAGCTACCATTGTAAAAACATGCACTTGATTCCTCTGACCTTTGCATGCTGGGTAATTTTAGAATTACATCTTTAATGTCAGGTTATATCATGAAGATTCTAGATTATGTTATTTTCCTCAAATGAGCATTTTTTTTGTTCATTTGTTCATGTGTGTGTGTGTTAACAAGCAATATCTTTACTGAACTTGAACTGTACACACCATTTAACTGGGCAGCAACTCCACTCAACTCAAAAAACCTTTTGTCTTTCATTAAGCTGAGTCTGAGTCTGTTACACACAGGAATGATTCAGATTTCAATCAGAAATGTGGATCACCAGAATTTGAACAGCCTTTCCCTGGTTCTTTCCCTTACAAAATTCTTCCATTTTCTTCAATAGACAAGGTTTCTCCAGTTTCAGTTTTTCACTTTCCTTCTCTACTTTCAGAAAACCTACAGTTTTCCCACTGGCACCCTTTCCCCACACTACTGCCCTTCCCCACACTTAGCCCCACACTAACAGCCACCTTCCTGCACAGGTTCACAGCTGCCCTCTACCACTTCTCAACTAGTCTGCCTGTCCTTCCTCTCCAGTGATTTTAGACTGCTGCTTCCTGTGTGCTATAAAGACTGTATAGCAGTTGTTTCTTTGTAGGGAGTCTTTTGGTAGTGTATCCTTCCATCATCACTAGATGAATATGACCCCCACAGAAAGTTTTTATCTGAGGAATTAGCATGATAAGATGTGCACTTTTAGGATTTCTCTGGCTGCTGTGAGAGAAATGGTCTCAAGGTAGCAGATGGAAGATGAATAAGAAGAGTCCACAATAGTCCAGGAAAGAGAGACCATTTGAAGAATAAAGCACCAAACACACCTTGGTCTATAGAGATTTATTGAAAAAAAACTGGGTAAATTTAGAAAACAACAAAGCTAAGATATCCAAACCTCATTTCATCACACGCCAGCATTATGAGCATGTAACAGAGCTAACAGGCCCACACACCTAGAGGCTGTTTAATCTGATTCTTAGGTATGATTCATTCTAAGTCATCTCTAATCTCTCACATTTCTAGAGAGTGAGAACTTGCTAGATTTATCAATAGACCCTTCCCAGCATCACACACTTACCTACTGCCTGCTAATCTCCCTGGGATGAAAAGAACCAGAAGTGTGTGCTCGTTCCTTCTTGATTTAATGTTTCTCAAGACTGTCAAGCAAAGACTCTGAATCTGTTTCCCCACAAGATCAATAAAGTGATGTTCTTCCTTTCATTAAGTTTTTGGAGAAGAAGGTGGGGGTCTAGTTCAGTGGTAGAGCACCGGTCTAGCATATGCAAGATCGTGGATTCAATTTCAGCACTCCTCCCCAGTTACTGGGGGTGGATGGAGTAGTATCTCACTTGATGTTTCCCTCAGTCAACACACTATGTAACTATGTTCCCATCAACTTATAGCATTAATGAAAAATTTTTATTCTGAAACAGAATCAAAAGACTTTGAAAGCTTGCTAAGAGTCTTGAACTGGATATCTGTTGTGCTCAATTTGTGAAAAATTCCTCAAATGGTTGCTTGAACTATACACTTTCCTGTATAGATATGTAAAAGCTCAAACATACCCATTCCATGTTCCATTACTCTCACAGGAAAAGTACACAGTATCCTGTTTGTGTGGCATTACTTACCTTCACAATGGTATCTGCTAACCACTCTAGCTCTATTATAATTTAAAAAGTAACATAGAATTTAAACATATATATATGAGTAAATAGAAGTTATCTGTTGTTTCATCTCCTAGAATTTAAATTCAGAGGTTTGTGACTATTACATCATCCTATCTATCATAAATAAATTATACTATTTTCCAAACTTGGGGCATGCCATTTTTCCTCCAAAAAATTCTCAAAAGTAAAGGAATATTGTTTAGAATCTATACCTGGCAGTAGTTGAGCTGAAAAGTCTAGAGCACAAGCAATTTTTGAAAACAGGAAATTTCTATTACTTTCTCTACAATTTCAGAGCCTCTGCTCTTTATGTACCTTTAGAATCTCTGCCTCACTGCATAGTATACAGCAGATGTTCAATAAATATGTGCTGATGGTAATAAAATTGATTATTTAAAAGCAGTTAAAGCTGGTGGTACGGCTCAAGTAGTAGAGTGTCTGCCTTCAAGGGCAAGGCTCCGAGTCCAAATCCCAGTACAGTCCCCCTTCCCCCCAAAAAAGAAAGAAAAGAAAAAGATAAAAAACTCATCACACAAACACACAAAAGACTGGTGGAATAGCTCAAGTGGTAAGAGTGCTGACTAGCAACACTGAGGCCCTGAGTTCAAACCACATACTGCAAAAAAAAAAAAAAAAAAAGTAGTAAGAATAATCCCTTTCAGATGATATAACACCCTAATTTCAGTTTGTAGCAGAGAGAACAAACAAACCTCTGAAAAATATTTTTTTTTGATTCATTCATTTAATAGAATTTTTCTATTTTCATTTCAACTTCTAGATTCTAAGTTTTCTTCTAAACACTCCTTTTCTTATCAAATGGAAATTTGTCTTACAAGCAGTTACCAAATTCATTAACTACAGTGTAACATGTTTCTATCACTTTTTTCCTACTTTTCTTCTCTATCCACTGTCTATGATAATACAAGAGAACACTAAGAAATAAGTCAATCATTAAGTATTTTTAAAATGTGCAAAAAATTAAAACTAAGGTTACATGTGCAGATTAAGATTCTAATACAACTCATTAATTTTTATTACCATTTCTATAAACTTGTGTAAATTTAAAAATATTTACAGGTTGAGTACCTCTTATCTGAAATGCCTGGGACTGTCAGTGTTTCAGATTTCAGGGTTTTTCAAATTTTGGAAAGTCTGCATAGACTTTACTGGCTGAAGATCCCTAATCTGAAAACCCAAAACCTAAACTGCTCCAAAACTCAAAACTTTTTGAGGATAATGTTGGGGCTCAACATGCATATGCTTAGTGTGCAATACAGTTTCAAAAAACCCAACTAGTAATCCACAAATATGGCAATTTTCAAAGTGTTATCCAACTACGCAGATCTGAAGAACATAATAGAACTGCAAGTAAACAGTTTACAATTGCTACATAGGAAATGTCATCTTTATTAATAAAAAAGCTTATATGCTATAAATAGATCCTAGAGCATATGACTTGTGGCCCTATCATGCTTTATACAATACACATAATTGAACAATAGTGTAGGTTTTTGTGTTATCTTTAATAATGGCACAAAAGTGAGTCCTATTATAGTGTACAGGAATCATTAAATAGCATAATCTCAAAATTTTAATTTTGTTGAAATTGTAGAGCAGACATTTACATTATCAGTATTATATACAGGTGTTTTGAGGTGTTTTTTTTTTAGTTGCTTATATACCTAAATACTTTAAAAACTTCTGTTTTACTTTAAAGCACTACATTTAAATAAAAGCTATTCCTAGATAGATCAGCGTGTTAGATGCTCTGGACAGCTCTAATAGAAGTCCAGTCTATTAAAAGGGAACTGAACAAAAGAAAAAAAAAGTCCATTTTAATATTCTACTTGATTCTTGGGCTATACACTGAAATGATATTATTCATTACAGTGGATATTTGCTCTTAAGTAGATGTTAAGAAATACTTATTAGCCATATGCACATGAAGATCCTTAATTATTTTAGCTAGCTGTTACTTACTGAGAGCCATGCAAGGGATTCCATGATTCGATGTTCACATCGTTCTAAATGTTTTATCATTTCTCTTGTCAAGTTGGCTTCTGCTTTGATAAAACTTTCAATCACTTTGTAAAAATCAAAGGCTTTTAAATTAAGTACATTCAGAATCCATGGGAAAGACAAATCCGTTCCAGAATCAAGATTCTGAGATGTACTTCCTGAAAATAAAAGAAAAAAATGTATGAATATGAAATGTTAAGACTTTAAGTATTTTTCATTTGGAAGATCATCTTGAACAAAGAATTTTAAAATAGCAAAAGGGTTAAATAACTTTTATTTAGAGCAAAAGATTTTATTCTGTATACATGGACTCTCAAGAGTGTATATGCATGTATATTTTTCTTAGGGAAAGTGTTCATATCTTACATCAAATTTGCAAGGGCTTAAATGCCCTAAACTTTTATCAAAAGTAGGTTTAATATCTTATCAGAAATTCATTAGCAGTTTCATCTTAACTCTCTCATAAATCCTTGTGCAAAGAGGAAAAAATGTTTTCAAGATTTTGCTGACTTCATTAGTTAGAAAATGGTATCTCTTTAAAATGTGCAGTGTTTAAAATGTTTCCATAGGAATTTATTAAGTTCCTCTTTTATTGTTTAATTATATCCTTAAATGTTCCTCTTTTGTTTCTGCAAGACTTTTTAACATTTGTAGCATTATTTATGAAATAATGCCTATTTAAAATTAATACGAAAAACACTCCTATTGGCCTTTGTTCTGTTTATCAATAATTATTAAATTTTCATAGTTGTCTTAAAAGCAATCACCAATTAAGAAAGTCACTCAGGCTTTGGTGGATTCCAGCTCCAACTTCTGGCCTCATGAGCACAGAGGTTACAATAGTGCTTTCATATGTGTGCTGGCTGCTCTTTAATATTCCTTTGGCACTTTATAATCTCACCAGTCTTTGAAGGGGTTCCAATAGCCACCTTTCCGAGATTTAGTATCTTCAAAATAGGATCTTAGTAAAATACCATCCCCAAGATGACCTGAAATGACTCAGATGCTAAGCCACTTAACTAGCTTTGAGGACCAATTATATTCTTCACTATATGCTGATCTAAAAATATGCCTATTTTTCCTCAACATCCGTACCTCCCAGAAAAAGAACAAAAACCATAACACACCTTAAGATTTTTTTAACTTTAAACTAAAATGTTTATTTACTAAAATTTAACTTACTGCTATATGTAGCCATTACAACTTCAAGAGCACACGCCAATAAAGACATATGAAAGATATTGTCATTCAGGAGTTTGCTAAAAGAAAAAATAAAAGGAATGAATTCAAAATGTTTACTTTCATTAAAAAAAATTATTTGACCAAAACTAAAAAATTTTACCTAAAATTTTGAATGGATAATCGTTCTTCTTCCTAAAACAGATAATTTAAAACAAAAATGTTAAATGGAAACCTCAGCTATACTAGCAGTAATTTTTTCTGTTACATACTTTTTAACTTACTGATTTAAGCATAGATTCCATCACTCGGTAATACAATCGGACTCCGAGTTTATATCGCTACAAAGAGAAAGAAACATAAGGACACATTATTTTAGAAAATCACTAATTTTTGTAAAAGCCTTTTCTTGAAATATACTTCTAAACCTTTTTAGGAATATAGCTACCAAAGATCACAAAAGCTAGCTTGTCCAAAACTCAAAACTTAAGTATAAACTGATGGTTAACATTCCCAATAAATTATCAAGAACATGATCCACTACCTGATTTTCCTTCCCTCCACTTCAGTCTAGATTCTTTATACTAAGGATAGGTTATATGCCCAGTACTATTTTAAGTATTTTACATACCTAGTATAATACTTCTTATAACTTAGAGCATCTGTTTTCAAAACAGCTGCTGGGATTAAGAGAATAGTCTATGTCTACAAAACTTAGTAAAATGGGCACTGGCAAAAATCAGCAAATAGTTTTAACCAACCAACTAGTTCCCATCAGTTGAAATAATGACCAGATTTTTGAGTTACATACACATGCTCACATACACAAACCCATATTCATCTATTCCACATTAAGAGTACATAGCCACAAGTGGTTGTCATATACAATTAAAAAGAACTTTTAAGAATAGTTGATTAAAACACTAGTGGTATCAAAATATAACCTCACTGCACTGGAACAAATGTGTACAGTGATTACAATTTTCAAACATTTTACTTATTGCCCTCATTAATATCACACAACAAATATAGGACCTGAATCTCAGAGAAGTTAAAACAATATGTTCACGATTACATAGTTCATAAGTAACAGAACTAGATACAAACCCAGGCTGTAACTCAAGTCCATACTCTTACCCAATATGTTGGCTTAATTTTTTTCAATTATAAATATATTTTAATTAGTGCTTTGAATACACAACAAACCAGTATTTGCCATTCCTGTTCTGATGTCATCTTTGAACTTAAAAATATTACTGTGTCTTTTTGGGGGTGGGGCAGCACTGGGGCTTGAACTCAGGGTCTTCACACTTGTCAGGCTGGCTCTGTTACCACATGGTCTACTCTGCCAGCATTTAGAAATTATATTATACAAGCTCAAAAAGTGAGTTTTAATCCCAGAAACAGGATGATTAGGTGTTCCATGTCTGGCAAGGAATCAGTGCTAACTCAATCACATGCATGACAAACTTGTGGAACTGTGGGTTTATATATGTCTCCAAAGGTCGCAGGAAGAAGAGAAGGGTTTCCTACATTGTTTACATTCATAAGGATTCACACCAGTGTGAATCTGTTCATGTGTTTTGAAGTACCTGGTTAAAGTAAAGGCTTTTCCACATTGCTTACAGGCAAAGATCGTCTCTCCAGTGTGACTTCCTTCGTGTGTTTGAGGTAACAAAAAGAACTAATAGGCGTTCCACATTACTTACATATATAGGGGTTCTCACCACTATAATTTTTTTCATGTTTTCTAAGGTTTTGGACCAATAGAAGGCTTTCCCACATTGTTTACATGCATAAGGTTTTGCTCCAATGTGAATTCCTGTATGTAATTTCAGGTGCCTGGAAGAAGTAAGAGCTTTTCTACATTGCTTGCATGTATAGGTTTTCTCACTACAATAAATTTGTCCATGTGATCTAAGGCCACTGAACCAACAGAGGCTTTTCCACATTGTTTACATTCATAATATTTCACTCCAGTGTGAATCTGTTCATGTGTTTTGAGGTGCCTGGATGAAGTAAAGGCTTTCCCACATTGCTTACATGCAAATGTCTTCTCTCCATTGTGAATTCTTTCTTGTGTTTTTTTTTTTTTTATTCATATGTGCATACAAGGCTTGGGTCATTTCTCCCCCCAAAGTGGATTTGATGCCTGTTTTGTGGGCATCATGTTTTTTTGTTTTTTGGTTTTTTTTTGGTGGTGCTGGGGTTTGAACTCAGGGCATCGCAATTCCTAGGCAGGTGCTCTACCATTTGAGCCACTCCTCCAGCCCCTCTTGTGTTTTGAGGTAACTGGAAGAACTAAAAGTTTTTCCACACTATTTGCATACATAGGGTTTTTCACCACTGTGAATTTTCACATGTCCTCAAAGCTTACTAGACCAATAGACGGCTTTTCCACATTATCTACAAGCATAACGTTTTGCTCCAGTGTGAATTCCTTCATGTGCTTTGAGGTATCAGGAAGAATTAAAGGCTTTTCCACATTGTTTACATGCTAAGGGCTTCCCTCCAGTGTGAGTTCTTTCATGTGTTTTGAGGGAACTGGAAGAACTAAAAGCTTTTCCACAGTGCTCACATACAAAGCATTTCTCACCACTGAGTTTTCACGTTTTCGAAGGTCACAGGACCAACAGAAGGCTTTCCCACATTGTTTACATACATAAGGTTTCGCTCCAGTGTGAATTCCTTCATGTTTTTTGAGGTAAATGAATGAAATAAAGGCTTTTCCATATTGCTTCCATGTAAAGGGCTTCACTCCAGTGTGAAATCCTTCATGTGTTTTCAGGTAACTGGGAGAACTAAAGGCTTTTCCACATTACCTGCAGACATAGGGTTTCTCTGTACTGGAAGTTCTTTCTTGTTTTTCAACAACACACAAATGTGAGATGGGTTTCCCACATTGCTTCTCCACCAGAAGTCAGTTCATGTTTGCAAAGGTCACTAAAATGAAAGGAGGCTTTTCCATACTGCTTACATAGAAAGGGTGTCTCTCCAGGGTGAATTCTTTCATGCCATTAAAGAAATCTGGAATCAGGAAAGGTTTTCCCAGAATTCTTCCATTTAAGTGGCTTTTGTCCATATTCCTGATACTCATGTGGCTCAGTTCCACTCTGAGTTCTCAAGGGCAGACTCAGGGATGGATGCCTGATGAAGACTTCTGTACAGACACAGTTTTCATTTGTTCCCACTCCAGTAGGAGTATTATTGCTCATAATATGATCTGGAGTATGACTGAAGACTTCTCCACACTGAATATCTTCTTTGTGTTCACAGCGTCTCCCTACCACTTAACTTCTTAGATTTCTTCTGGAATTTCTATAAACCTCTTCAATGGTCTGATCTTCCCTAACAGAGGTCAGATTCCGGAAGGTTTCTACCATCACATCGATGTATAGTTTCTGTCATGAAGGATTGCCCAAAGCCCACTCTTCGTGGGTGAACTTGATCCACGTCATCAAAGGTCATAGACTCCATTTCCTGAGAGACCCGGCGATGTCCTTGGGCTCCTGCAGTCAGGGGGGCACACAGCAGCCAAGGCTGGGGCTTCTCTCAGCTTAGATGCTACTATCAAGTATCTATGTTGGCTTATTTTATGAATCAATAACAGTATTACTCAATAATTACATTGAGAAATGGCACATACAGCATTAACCCCACCCACATATGTATGAATATTTTTGAGAAGTCAAAATATAAATATCAAAAATTTAATAATATCAGAAATTTTAATTTTTTTCTTATTTGTATTTTCTAAAATTTCAATAATTGGCATATATACTTTTGTTTTTTATAATGAGGTGAGAGTGTTTGTTTGCCCATGAAATTTCCTATAAGCTGGGATAAACTACCTGCCAGTATTTCCTATGACTGGACAAATACTAGTGTAGTAGTAAACAGTCAAGATAAGTGCTGTCTTTAAAATTACTTCTATATAGTGACACTAATAAAAATTAACTCAAGTTACCTGTGATCCAATGTCAACACACCCCTGTCCCACAGCATTAGCAAATTTCTCTTTAAAGATGTGTCCAATATCCTTCACTCTCTTCAGGATATTTTCTTTTGGGTTCACTGTGCAGTTCTTTAAGAAATATAAATAGAAATCAACACTGAGGACACTGTTTAACCAGAACTAAAAATTTCTGTTGCATAATAAGCGACTTGGTATTTTCAATTATTTATAAAAGTGTGGAAACACTTCCTCAATAACTAGGGAAATGCAACTTCAGAACATAAGCAGACAACAGAATTTCCTTGGATTAACATTAGTGACCAAAAAAAAACCCTTGATACAACTAAAAATCCCATTACCTAAATGTTCTGGTAGTAAGCAAGGGAAGAGCACACATTATCAAAAAATATTTTCAACTAAAAGTTTTATTAGAATGTATATTACCTCCTCCCTACAGCAAATGAAAAAGTAAAAGTAAGATGTAAGGGTGGTATCATTTCCTAATTTAAAGCTGTGCTTAAAAGAGTAAAGAATTGGGGTTGGGGGTGTGGCTCATGTGGTAGAGCACTTAAGGAGTTAAAAATAAGCCAAATTGGGCTGGTGGAGTGACCAAGTGATAGAGCACCTGCCTGGGAAGCATGAGGCCTTCAGTTCAAACCCCAGTACCACCCAAAAAAAAAAAAAGAACTAACCAAATCACTTAACTACATTTTTAGAAACCTAAGATGGGGAAATACTTACAGAAGATGTTCGAACACATTTTTATTTGGGCTGGGGCTATGTCAACTTTAATAATCAAAGCACATTACAGAATGACATATTAAAGTAAATAGTATGATGTATTATAATATTCCATAACTCATATTAAAATATATCACAAACATGATTCACATAAACTATAATCAAAGACTCATTTTTTATAATCTCTACAGATTAAATACATTCCAAATATTATACACTAGGGAAAAAACTTTCTAAAGTTAAGATTGATTATAATTTTCTTTGTAATGTATTCATTTCCATTCAAAAATTTCACATTCTAAAATACCAATAAATTCTATATTCCTGTAAGAAAACAACATATAACTCTTAGGAATATATAACAAAGAAGCATTTCTTTCATAAAGTCATGGCTGCCAAAATGTCCATTAAAATGTGCACAGTCTGTACACATAGGGAAGATAGCACTGACCTTAAGAATAAAGAAATCTAAACTAACAAAGAAGTAACATCAAGAGAAAGATATCTCACTCTAAGGCAATCTGTCATTTGCCCGGAACTGCAGTCAAGCTGTAAAGCTTAATCAGAAGTTCAGCTTTAAACAAACCCAAGAAAATGCCTTTCAGGCAAAATTTTCTGCTCAACTGAAGTAATTCTAATTTTCAAAAAAAGAGCTCCTACATACTGCAAACACTGGAACAGGTATTCAAATTGATATTTAGAAGAGATTATCATTCTTTTAACCTCTATCATCATCCTTGCTAAAAGTTCTAGGTAATTGGATAAATGTGTTTTGGCAAATAGTCTTGTCCTACAGACAACACATAGACATAATCAACTTAATACCAGCTGGACAGCAAAATGAGTTCTTCAGCCAACACAATTATGAGTATGATGACAGAAATTGCTAATTCCTGGACAAAGCATAACAAGAGATGACAACAGAATATGACTACTATATCACAGTAAATGAGCTATTAGCAAATACAGAAAGCACATAATTCTGGAACAAACCAAATTTTTTAAATGTCCTGGTCTTGTATATATAGACATTTCAGTGAGTCCTAACCCTTATTCATATGATTTTAAATAAGGAGTAAAGGACTTTCTACTTTCTCTTTCTCCCTTTCTTGAGGAGAGGGAGGGTAGCAAGGACTTTCAAATGTAAAACTCAGGGTCTAGTAGGAATTGCAAACTGCAGTACACACAGGTCCAGGCAAGAATTGTAAATGAAAATATGATGGAGGATTAAAAAAGACAATAGGGCCATGGTGAGTGTTCAGTCCTGACATCACCTTTAAATAAAAGATCTTAAAGATCTTAAAAGCAGCCCAAGAGAAAAAACATAGATTAACTATAAAGGAATAACCATTAGGTTGACAGAAGACTTCTTAATTTTAGCAACAAAGGGAGCCAAGAAATGGTAAAGTGGTATCTTCAAAATAGTAAAGTACTATCTTAAGCTTCTGAAAGAAAGCAAATATTAACAACCTAGAATTGAAGATCCAACTAAACCATCCCTCACAAAATAAGAGTAAAGACATTTCAGGTAAAAAAAAAAAAAACAAAACCAAACCCTCTAATTTCACCTCAAACTAATCTCCCAATAGGAATTATTATAGAATAAATCTAAAGAATAAAGAAAATGATCTCAGAAGTGATGTCTAAGTTTCAAAAAAGAATGGTGATCAAGGCAAATGGTAAACACAAAATTTAGTAAGATTATACCTACTAATAATATCTATCTTGGGGGACTGAAAAAGCAAGAAACAAGATAATGAACAGCTACACATTGAATGGGAGATATGTGCTTTAAAAAATACTTAGTATTTTAACTTCTGATTTCAAATTTTTTGCCAAGATATCATAAAAAATGTTTTATTTATGGCTTACATTGAAATAGGATATCAGATTTTCTGATGGTTGATCACTTGCTGAATTTAAAATCATCATTAATTGCTGGATGGTATTCATAACTGTCCTAGAGGGGGAAAAAAAAAAGCAATATTAAGCAACAACGAAAAAAGAAAATGAACATTTCTCAGGTTAAAACTATCTTCTAACACACAGACTCTCCCATTTATCTTTAACAAGATCCCTGAAATAAGATCTTATTAACAGCCAGACATGCTGGTGCATGCCTGCAATCATAGTGCTCAGGATGCTGATGCAGGAGGATTATAAATTCGAGGTCAGCCTGGACTAAATAGGGATGTCTAGGCCAGCCTGGGCTACATAACAAGACTTGTATTAAAAAAAGCCCCCAAAACCAACCAACCAAAACCTTTGGTATGTTGTACTTTATAAGAAATTATACTTCATTTAAATCTTTAAGAATAAGATTATATTCACAATCACTACATTTATAATTATAGAACTGATATACTTACTAATAAAATGAAATACCCATATTAATTAGTGAAACTAATGACATTTTTTAGAGGAAATATGTGTCACAAATTTTCATATGATATAGAGAAATAACTGGCATCAAGATGGCATTCTTCCAAAAAAAAATCACAATTAAATGTTAAACACTTTCAAATAAAGACAATAAGATATTTAGTAACTCAAGTAAAGAACAAGAAATTCTTTTTACAGAGATACCAAGAAGAAAGGATACTTAGGTCCTATGACTCTAAAAGTAACCACTGTTAAAATGAAGTTAGGTCAATCCCTCAATAGCTTTTTAATTCTACAGTTTTATATGCATGTAGCATGAAGATTAATGCTCCAGTTTTTGGAACAACAGTACATATGAGACATTGCTAAGGATGTAAAGAACTGTAGGATGCTTAGGGCTAAAAAGGTCCTTAAATATTATTTAGTAAAACATGTTCAGTGTTCTCAGCTAAGCCTCTCTAAATTGTGATCCATACTTCACCTTTCAAACATATTGCCATGTGGTTTTCACAGCTTCTATACCCATTAATCTATTTAAGCCACAAATGACCAAATGCTAAAACCAAAACCTTTCTCATTTGTTTTGACAACTGACTTCTTTGACACATTTGATACTCAGAACTGGCTCTTCAGTGAAACTCAATGCCCTCCCTTGATTTTCTTGGCTTCATACACTAGGTTCCCCAATCATATCCTCTCATTCTCTAGAATCTAACTTCCACCCAGTCCTTAAGTGCTAGCATTGTTTAGGGATCAACCCTTGCCACCCACGCTTGGTCATTATACGCTCTCACTTTAGGCAGTACATCTATTTTCATGGTTTCTAACCCTACCTGATGGGTTCTCAAATCTATAAAAGCCATATATTCTATTGCTCACTAGATATTATCTTCCTAAGTGCTGAAGAACAATATTCTAAATGTAAATCCATCAAATATTTATCAAGCCTGTTCCTGCTCCCTCATTCCCACTACTACTCAATTAGTCCAGATCTTTAGCATCTCTCAACTGAACTACTGCAATAGGTCAGCCTAAAGATTTTTTGTTCACTGTGGTAGTAAGCCCTAGGCATGCAGACTATGAAAAAAATCCCCCAGGTTATTGTAATTTGCACCCTTGTTAAAAAGTTCTACAACAGATCAATCACCTTGTTCTGTCCTCCTCAGTCACCTTGTTCTGTCCTCCTCAGTCCATCCGCTCACAAATTGCTAATAAGCAAACTTATAAAAATCAAGCCTGAGTTTATCCTTACCCCGCTTACCATCCATTTGTAGCACAGACTACCTCACACATAAGCTTAAATCTACGTTTGTGAACACAACATGCAAAGGCCTTCATACCTACTCTCTACACCTGCCAGTTCATCCTCTCATTAATTAATACAGTTCCTCAGACTCATTATGTTGTTTTAACTTCAATGCCTTTGTGCATGTATTTCTATCCCCCAATATTGCTGTTTTATGGAACATTTCAAAATTCAGTTCAAACATCGTTTCATAGTCTCATCTGTGTTATCTCATTAACTTGCTCGTAACTCTATTACTATGCTTTTGTGAAGCTGTGTTTGTTTATATGTCTATACAATCATTTGAAATATATTACTGTTTGCCTATTATTACCAAACATTATGATAGGCCTTAAAATTTATTAGATGATGGACAAAAAAGTTATGGTCCATATGGAATGGAATTTAAAGGCTATCATGGGTTTAAGCAAACACACAAATGAATTTATAAATATGATAAACTATGAAGAAACAGAACAGGATGCTATGAAAAAGAATAATGAAAAATACTTCAAAGAAAAATATACCTTTAAAAAAGCAATATTTGTACTGAACATAAAGGAAGAGTAGCAGTTAGAAACCTGGAAAGAAAAGAAGAGTTTCAATAAGAAAGAATACCAAGTATGAAGGTTTTCAAGTGCAAGAGCTTGGAGAGTCCAAGAACCCAAAAGAGGGCTAATGTGTTCCCAACACTGAGTGCACAAGAATTCAAGATGAGGCTGGAGAGGCAACAGAAGCCAGATCATACAAGGTCTTCTAGGCATTAAGTTATTTGCATTGTATTCCTATTATGCTTGATCTGCCTTACATTTCTAGAATATTATTCCCAGGGCTCTGTGGAAAATAGATTTCTGGTGGGAGAGAGGAACAGTGCTAAGAGCAGAAGCAACAAGATGGTTAGCAGGATACTGCCAAAAATTCAAGAGAAAGAGAAAGATGTCTTGAACAAGGGTAGTGAGAGCAAAAATGGTTGAAAGGAAATGGACTCAAGATATATTTTGGAGGTAGATTTAACAGGACTTGATAACAGAGTTAAATGTGGGAAGAGAGTAAGATAAAGGACATAAAAATAATTCTAATTCTTCAAGGTTATATGCAGATCAAATGTGGTACTTTTTTGTTCTCTCTTTACTTAAGATGGAACTCATACACATTTTACATTATATTCCTATGGACAGACAGAACTAGCTCTAATAATTGTAATCTAAGCATCTCATGTAATACTATGGACACAAAGAGCTCTCAATATACCTTACATGTATGTACAAACATAAGATAAAACAAATAAACAAACCTGAAGCACTAAAAGCATTGAATAAGCAATTATAATGAAAATTAAAAGTAGGAAAATTCATACCTAACTGGAGTCTGTGGAGGAATCATATTCACCTCTTCATCAGGGTTACTTTTTCGTGGTGTTCTCTGTATCTCTAAACTAAATGATGAGCAATGTCATTCATACAGAAAATGTACAATTTGTGTTTTATGGGTCAAAAGCAATGTAATACCTCCTGTTGTTTCATAACATCACTCAAAAGGGCAAGTCAATAAGAGAAGTGATAGGAAATAGATAACTCAACTGCTGTTTAAATGATTTTCTTTTACACTATGGTTCTTATGTGTCGGTCTCTTTCTACTAGGTTTATGACAAAGAGGTACATCAATCATTAAGTATTTTCATGAAAGTTAGATGTTTTATTGCTGGTGGTATTAATAACCAAGCTGTTCAGAATTTCAAAACACTGAAAGTCAAGTTTTTCAATGGGCTATGCTTTCTAAAAATAATACTGCTACTAAAATCAAATTAAAAATATTTAACTATGTTCAATTTTTAAGCCATGTGTAATATTTTCAATTTTGTACTAAAATTTCATAATAAGGAGTCAAAATTAACCTTACTTATGATCAGTCAGAAATTTTTGTTACTTTCAACCATTCATATTTTAGGACTGTCCCTAATAATTCCAGAGAATATATTTTTGTATTAATTTTTTAAATAAGATAGGCAGGCAACAGTACCACTTGAGTAAACTAATTAGTTCAATCATTTTCTTTTGGTGCACATTTGAAAAATTATATTCAGCTAGATAAAAAAAGGTAATTGTTGCAGAGTAAAATTTACATTAAATCTCTACTTGTTAATAAATTCTATATGCTTAGAACACATTTAATCTTCTCTTTACATAAAGGCATTTGAAAGTAATTTATTATAAATGATATTTAAAGGTAACTGAAATAATAAAAACCTAATTTACCCACATAATATGATACATCGATCATATCAAAGGCATATCAATAAGTAAAAATACACCTTATGCAATACCTGTCTATAGGATCAGTCTGAAGAGTTTTGTCATGATCCAAAAATAATCTTGCATCTAGATCTTTATTTTTAAGATAAATTTCTTCATATCGTTTAGAGAGAATTTCGACCTCAAAAGAAAAAATTGATGATTATTCTTTTTGGCTTATTACATCTCTTAGCATACAGAAGCAGATTTCATTAAATAATTTTTGTTCAACAAACATTTAAGTTTTCAGTACGCACTGAGTTCACATGCAATATAATTAAGGCTTATCTAAAACTGAAGTATACAAAATAACAAAGGTTTTTCAAATTCAATCTTAAACCCATTTTATGCATATACTCCATTTACTAAAATTTTATGTAGATAAGGTCACAATGCCACAAAACAGCACTTTAGATAAAAATCTTAAGGTCAAGTATCACAGGTCAAATATCCTATCCAAAATGTTTGAAACCAAAAATATTTCAGATTTTGGGTTGTTTTTTTTTAGTTTGAAATATGTGCATATACAAAATGAGATATCTTGGAGATAGGATCCAAGTCTAAATACAAAATTAATTTATGTTCATATACACATTACAGCCTGAAAGTATTCTTTTTAAATGAGATAGGGTTTTACTATGTATCCCAGGTTGGCCTCAAACTCTTGATCCTCCTGCCTCAGCCTTCCAGTGCTGGCACTAGAGAAATGTGCCACCACTCTTGGCTAACCTGAAGGTAATTTTACATACTTTTTTTTAGCACTACTGGGGTTTTAACTTAGGGCCTCACACTTGCTAGGCAGGCACTCCACTACTTGAACCAGGTCCCCAGATGTTTTCTTAATATTCACAATGTTTTTTAAATAATTTTGTACAAGAGTTTTGTGGTATAGAATTTTGCATTTGTGGTCATGAGCACACAAATTTTCAGATGTTAGTGCATTTCAGATTAGAGATACCCAACCTGTATCATAACCAGTTAATTGCCAAAACTCTCCAAACATGCCATATATTCCTCACTTTTACTATGTTTATCAATACAAAAATTGTTTTTTCAAATGTAGTGAATCCTCCTGATTATATATTCCCAATGTTTTCTAAACCCTTTGGATCACTCTACTTCCTTTCAGTTAAATACTGACAGAGAACTAACTCAATTAATTACACCAACTAACGTACTTGTACAATTTTTTTTAATCTTAAAAGCTGTTTCAATTGTTGAGAACTATAAATCATTTAGCAGTTCTGATTTATAATTTTTTAATCATAACTTAAAAACCAGTACCCAAAAGACAACCATTGGCATTCTGTCTACTGTGACTTATTTTCCTGCTGGTATTTGGGCTAAACATACTCTACCACTGAGCTACACCCAGGCCCTGCCATGACTTTTAAAGTCATAGGGTTTCTAACCTAAAAAAGACTAAAATTGCATTGTAAAAGAACTGGTAGGAAGAAACCCAGTTAAATGTAAATTCTGTGTTTGCCTATCTAAGTATATTAGGCAGAACAGCTATTCATACTGAAGTTTAATCAATGTCCCTGTCCTACCTTAGTAAGGCAATAATAATCATCCATCAATTTGTGGCTATATATGAAATACTGAGGAAAATATAAGGCTTCTCTTAAGATTTCTGTTGAAGCTGTAATCCTTTCTAAGGGAAAAAAGAGCACTATAAGTGTCTAAGATTCCTCAGAGTTGTACCACATATTTTTGGGTGCCTTAGGTGGTAAAGACTCAATAACACAATACCAGGTCCCTTCTTGCCTCTCCGGTACCATACCTTACCACTCTTCTGTCCTGTATTCCACCATTAAAAAAATACTTGGCATTCACTGAACAGGCTATACTCTCACATATTATGGTGTCTTTAATCCACAAAATCCACCCCTAGAATTGCCATCTCATAATTCGTACTCAGCTCAGTGATCACATTACCTCTGAACAATTTTGCAAGAGACCTATTTGCCCCAGTTTGAATTAGTAACCCTCCTCTGAGATATCACAGATCCCTGTGCATACTTCTATCAGACTCTTGTAAAACTCCTATAATTTTTTAAATTTTTTGGTGGGACTCAGGTTTGAACTCAGGGCCTCATGCTTGCGAAGCAGGCGCTCTATCATTTGAGCCACTCTTCTAGCCCATGTTCTGTTTATCTGACTGCCTCTCTCATAAGAACCTTAAGGACAATGACTGAGAATTAAATCTCTGTATAACCACACAGTATGTAGCACAATGTTTGGCTCATATGAAGCACTCAACAAATATTTGCTGAACAAATTAATTAATTTAAGAACTATCTCCCAACTAAGAGATAGCATAGACAAATGAGACTTCATAAAACTAAAAAGCTTCTGCTCAACAAAAGAAATGGTCTCTAAACTGAAGAGAACACCCACAGAGTGGGAGAAAATATTTGCCAGCTACATGTCAGACAAAGGACTGATAACCAGAATATATAGGGAACTTAAAAAACTAAAATCTCCCAAAATTAATGAACCAATAAAGAAATGGGCAAGTGAACTAAACAGAACTTTTTCAAAAGAAGAAATTCAAATGGCCAAAAAACATGAAAAAACGCTCACCATCTCTAGCAATAAAGGAAATGCAAATTAAAACCACACTAAGATTCCACCTCACCCCTGTTAGAAAAGCCATCATTAGAAACAACACCAACAACAGGTGTTGGCAAGGATGTGGGGAAAAAGGAACCCTTATACACTGCTGGTGCGAATGCAAGCTGGTGCAACCACTCTGGAAAAAAATTTGGAGGTTTTTTAAAAATCTAAATGTAGATCTGCCATATGATCCAGCAATACCACTCCTGGGGATATACCTAAAGGAATGCGACACAGGTTACTCCAGAGGCATCTGCACACCCATGTTTATTGCAGTGCTATTCACAATAGCCAAGTTATGGAAACAGCCAAGATGTCCCACTATCGACGAATGGATTAAGAAAATGTGGTATTTATACACAATGGAATACTACTCAGCCATGAAGAAGAATGAAATCTTATCATTTGCAGATAAATGGATGGAACTGGAGAACATCATTCTGAGTGAGGTTAGCCTGGCCCAGAAGACCAAAAATCGTATATTCTCCCTCATATGCGGACATTAGATCAAGGGCAAACACAACAAGGGGATTGGACTTTGATCACATGATGAGGCGAGAGCACACAAGGGAGGTATGAGGATACGCAAGAACCTCCCCCACCAAAAAAAAAAAAAAACAAGATAGCATTTGATGTCCTCAATGCAAAAGAACTAATGCAGAAACTTTAAAGCGACAGAGGCCAATAGGAGAAGGGGACCAGGAACTAGAGAAAAGATTAGTTTGAGAAGAATTAACTTAGAATGTAACACATATGTACAGGAAAGCAATGCGGGTAAACTCCCTGGATAGCTATCCTCATCTCAACTAGCAAAAACCTTCAGTCCTTCCTATTATTGCTTATACTCTCTCTTCAACAAAATTAGAGATAAGGGCAAAATAGTTTCTGCCTGGTAGTGAGGGGGTAGGGAGGGAAAAGGAAGGGGTGGGAGGAAGGGGGGAGAAATGACCCAAACATTGTATGTACTTATGAATAAAAGAAATTTTTTAAAAATACTAAAAAAAAAGAACTAGCTCCCAATCCAGGTCATAGAATCAGTAGTCTAGCTACCTACTTTCATACCTTTTGGTCTTGGTGACTAATATTAGACAGTTCTAAAACACTGCTTTATCACTGAGTATTGTTCATCCTTTATCAATACATATTTCACAGTTCATTGTATCACCCAAAGTTCTCAGTTGTTCTCAATAAAAAGACATTTGTGGCAAAACACAAAAAGAAACAGATGGATGGTACACCACTAAGATAAAATATTTCTGTAATACAATCACAGTCACTCCAACCAAAATTATTTTTAATTAAACAATTTTTAAAGCTACCTAAAGGAGATATTCCACATTATGGAGCACAGTAATGCCAATAATATTGATTGCATTAATTGTGGATCCAATGCTTAAGAATGTAAAACAGATTAGAATCAAATTTCATTATTTGTATTTATTCATTATTGTATTTAGCTATATTGTGGCACTCAGAAATTTAAAAGTCTACACTTTGATTTTTGAAACATCTCAGTACAGATCAATTTCTAGTACAAACCACGAAATGATGCTTATTCATATGTATGAATATATATTCAAAAATGTTTTCTGTTGTCATATGAAAGTTGATTTTGCAACTCTAATTAGCTAGTCTCTTTTCTTTGAGCAAAAATAAAATGTTTGATATTTAGTAAACTGATATTAAGAAATGTAAGCAAATATCTTCCCTCCCCAAAGTCTGAAAACATATCAATTTTTTATTAAATTCTTTTTCAGATTACCTCTGGAAGTCCATTAGGAGCTACTATTCCAAGAGAATTCATAAAAGGTATAAAATTTTTGAAATATACATTTTTCACCTGAAAAAGATAAAGTTATAATATGACTATTAAAATTTTAAACAAAACAAAACCTAATCTCCGTCACTACTAACATGAGAATGAAAGTGATAACTCAATTTGATCAATGGCATATATTCAAGTTAATGATACTTATTTATACTTAATTCAGTTATTTACTTTTTAATGTATGTGAGCCAGATTCTAGATTATAAAATAGAAGTGAGGGGAAACTGTTTGTGAAATGAGATTTATGGGAAGAGAAGCCATCAAAATCAACTTCAGTACTCCATATTTAACAAGTGATAAAAAAAGACAGGGTACTCAAACAAGGTAAGCAACTTGACTAAAGTCGCACAGTTATAAAGTGACAGAGCTGGAACTAAAATCTAACTTGTCCACTATCAAAGCCAGAATTCTTATCTCTCTGCTGTCTCTGATTTCTCCCAAAAGCATATTTTTGGGCTGGTGGAGTGGCTTAAATGGTAGACTGCCTTTCTAACAAGTGTGAGGCGGTGAACTCAAACCACAGTACCACCAAAAAAAAAAGTGATGGTGCTATAAATTCTGTCAAAATCTTGGGTCACTTCACACATGGGTCATCTGATAACTGCTTGGGTAACTGGACATCAATTTTTAAGCATAAATTTAAGAAAATAATTTCACAGACAAAATTAATACCAAATATTTTTTTCAAAAACAAATAAAAAATGTTTTGTGGAATTATGCATTATTTCATGCAAAGCACCATACAATTAACATGGATTATTTAAAAATCACAGTCAGAGAACCTAGAGTTCTACAACTGGCTATTCTACACTTGCAATATATTGTAGAATTTTAAACAACTTCCTACTCTTTATTTAACTTTCTTTTCCAAGTTAAAATGTATATTTTCCAAATCTACATTTATTAAGGTGGGAATAATTTGGTATCAGTTCCTTCTACTTCATAAGAATGAAGACTTAGAAATACTTATTAGCTTTATTTTCTGATTAACTCCCGCTTACTTAGAATATTGATAAGGTAAGTAGTTAATTAACCAATTAGTATTACTAACCAATAGTTATATAGCCATAAATGCTATATTTAAATAAGTGTCCATATATTAGAATAGTACTAAAGCTTTCAGTTAACCACAATTTAATAACTTTAAAGATTCTAAATTCTAAGAATGGGTTCTGTAAGATGAAAAGTTTAAAAAATAATTTATTCCTAATCTTGAAAATGAAATTTTACAAGTAGTTATGAAATCCAGAGAATTAACAACCAGGAATTAGAAAACTACATTTACTGCTATTCATCATTTTGTGACTAAGCAAGAGAACTGAAATAAAAAATACTTCAACTACATTTGTCAGCTTATTTGCATAATTCGTAATTCTAGACAAGTGAAAAGTAAATATTTATGTGTATATATAAAGTTGATATATGTATATGTTTATGTTGAAATTAATAAAAATCATAGCCTAAAATCCAAATATCTTGATAAGTCATTCTAATACTTCTTAAACTGCTTCCCAGAGATGAGAGAGAAATTTCAAGACTCAAGATTTCATACTGCTGTCTGCTGGTTGTGAATTGTGGACAGTAGAGTAAACTGTGAGAGGCACAGGAGGTACAATGAAAGGAGTACTGTCCCAACTCTGGCATACATTCTGTTAGTAATGAGTGGTCAGTCTCTGAAAGCATGTTTATTCATCACTAAAGGAGGTTGAGTACATTGTTTGTGAGATTCCTTCCAATTCCAACATCCCGGATCATGAACAAAAGAAATAATTTCTGGTGTGCATGTGTATTCACCAGTCATTAGCATCTGGTGAAATGTTTAGAAAGAGAATATTATGGAAGGCTAAACAGGAATTTAATGTTAGTATCACTTATCACTAAACGAAAACACTAAGGGTTTGTTGGCAGGATATTTTAAAAACATTAGGGACATTATAACTTTAGTAGACTCAAAAAAGAAATACACTTCAGTGATTCCAAAGCAAGAGAGCTACTCTCTTAAAAGCAAAATAACTGAACGTGAAAAATAATTAAATATTTTTCACTGAATATTTTTATTTTTTAAATAACTAAATATTCTGTAAAAGAATTGGCACTAATCAAAAAACAAACAAAATAAAAAACTCACTCACCACAAAAGAAGTATATACTGTTAAGAAGAACTTATATCTAAATCTACTTTAACTGTTTTAAATAAATCATAAGGAGTAATTACCTCATCTATATTACATTCATGTTCTTTACAGAGAACTTCAATGATTCTTGTATCATTTTCTAGTTGTTTTGCTATCCGGGCACTCCTGTTTTGACCTCGTCTAGGTGTTCGAGGTGAACCATTAATGGGTTTTACCGCTGTTTCTGTAAAAATGGTAAATTAGATGAGAACAATCGTGCATTCCATCATAGAAAATAACAAAGTTATTCTAATTTTAACTAAGAAAGTCAATAAAAACCTTGGAGCACTTTACTACTTTTACTTATTAGGCTTCATTATAAGGATAACATTTTATTTATTGAATATCCATGGCCCTCTTCTTTATTTTTATTTTTATAGTATTGGGGATGAAACTCAGGGCCTTGTGAATGCTAGCCAAACATGCTGCCACTGAGCTATGTCTCCAGCCTTCAAATGCCTATTATAAGTTATATACTGACACTAGTTTTTGCCATCATTGTTCTCTTCTGCTCCTAATAGCACAAAAGAACTATAAAATACCTAAAATCCCATAAACATAGAGGTCAGAGAAATAGTCAACTTTATAAACTAATTCTTACTAAGTAGTGCATCCTATTAAGTCTAAAAAAGGAAAAAATATTATTTATCTTAGCGCCTTAAAAATAATGAGCAAATAAACATACAGATTCAATTTAAATACAGTATAAAATATAGCATAATTTAAATATAGTATAAAAATAAATACTTTAAAAAGTTTTAGTAAATTATGGAACATATCAAATATGGTATATAAATATATTAATATGATGATAAGCAGTGCTTTTTCTAAAATTCCTTGGATTACATGAACATTTTGAACATATTGATTCAAACTGAAAATAGGTTCTGCTATTAAAGAGACTGCAGACAATTAAGTATGAAAAGTTTATACTTATCATTTCTAGACCCAACCTACAACCTACAAGAAACTGAGAATACAAATGAACATGTTAAACTATACCACAATATATAATCAGCAAAAACTGGACTATGGGAAACTCCACAGGATACCAACCTGATTATTTTAGTGCTGGGGATTGAACCTAGGACCTTATAATGCTGAGTACACACCCTGTCATCCTGATTGCTTAGTAGATAAATTATGGGGGAAAAAAGAGAGATAAAGGAGGAACTTTTTTTTTTGGTGCTGTATATTGAACCCACGGACTTCATTTCTCTACCACTACACTGTATCCCCAGCCTGAAATAAGAACTTTTAAGAGAATTTTCAAAGTATATCAACCTTGCTGAAGGTCCAGCTCAGTGGTAGAGCACCTGCTTATTAGCAAGGCCCTAGGTTCAATCTCCAGCAACACATACACACACACACACACACACACAGTCATTCACATACACACACAGGCAGAGACAGAGACAGAGACAGAGATATGTATGTATATATAAACTAATGGCAAATTGTAGACCTTATTTAGAGTATCATTCAGGCAACCTGTAAAAAATAAATTAAATTTATGAGACAACTGAAAATCTGAACTTTAGCCAAGTATGGTAGCACAAGTATGATATAACCTTAGCTACTCAGGAGGAAGAGGCAAGAGAATTGCCAATCTGAAGACAGTCCTGAAACAAAGGTATTAAAGAAGAAGTTAAATTATCTCTATTTGCAGATGATATGATCTTATACCTAGAAGACACAAAAAAATTCCATCAAAAAACTCTTAGATCTCATAAACATTAAGCAAAGCAGCAGTACACAAAATCAATAAACAAAAGCCAAGAGCACTTCTAGATGCGAACAATGAGCAGCCTGAGAAAGAAATTAGGAAAACAATACCACTCGCAATAGCATCAAAAAATTATAATACCTGGGAATAAATTTAATGGAGTGAAAGATTTACACAACAAAAACTATAAATTACTGAAGAAAGAAGTCAAAGAACACATTAGAAGATGGAAAGACATCTCATGCTCATGGATCAGTAGAATCAATATTGCAAAAATGGCTATACTACCAAAAACAATCTATATGTTCAATGCGATTTCCATCAAAATTCCAAGGACATTCTTCACAGACAGAAAAATCATTCTTAAAGTTCATATGGACCCCAAAAAGACCCCAAATAGCCAAAGCAATCCTGAGCAAAAAGAACAACACTTGAAATATCACAACGCTTAACTTCAAACTGTACTATAGAGCCATGGTAGTAAAAACAGCATGGTTTTGGCACAAAAAATAGACATGAAGACCAATGGTACAGAACAGAAGACCAAGACACAAGCTCACCCAACTATAGCCATTTTCTTTTCTTTTTTTTTTTTTTAGGCAGTAGTATATTAAATATAGTGATTTGAAAAACAGGTTGTTAGAATTCAAGGGCAAACAAGGGTTCTAATTTCTGAGCACATCAAAATTCATAAATTATTAGTAGACATAATTTTTATCTTTCTTAAGTTTAGTCGTACAGTGATCACTACATTTCCAATAGCCAGATCCATTTGTGATCTACTTTCATAATTGCATTATTTTGCATATTTCTATTTTTCTCCTAAGTTCACTTCATTAACATTGGTAAGTGTACAGATATTTAAATAAGCTCACATGTCATTTAATGAAATAATTATTTTACATCCTGATGTAATCATCCTGATGTAATGGCTGACTACAGCCATTTGATTTTTGACAATGGAGCCCAAAACATACGTAGGAGAAAAGACATCCTCTTCAACAAATGGTGCTGGAAAAACTGGGTATCTAATTGTATAAGTTTGAAACTGGATCCCATTCTCTCACTCTGTACTAGTATCAATTCAAAGTGGATCAAAGATCTTCATGTAAGGCCTGAAATTGTGAAACTACTGCAGGAAAGAACAGGGAAACACTGGATCACATAGGCACAGGCAATAACTTCCTGAACAGAACTCTAATACCTCAGCAATTAAGAGAAAGCATTGACAAGTGGTACTGCATCAAACTAAAAAGCTTTTGCACAGCTCTTTTTCACTAGACTGAAGAGAAAGCCTACAGAATGGGAGAAAAATCTCTGTCAGCTATACATCTGACAAGAGATAAATAATCAGAACACATAGGAAGTTCAAAAAACTAACCCCTAAAAGAATCAACAATCTAATAAATAAATGGGCAAATGAAATGAACAGACAATTCTCAAAAGAAGAAATATAAATGGCCAATAAATATAAAAGAAATGCTTTACATTTCTGGCCATATAGGAAATGCAAATCAAAACAAAATTGAGATTTCACCTCACTCCAGTCAGTATGGCAATCATCAGTAACACAAACAACAACAAATACTGGTGAGGATGCAGGGAAAAGAAACCCCCTATTCACTGTTAATGGGAATGTAAATTAGTACAACTGTTATGGAAAGCAATATGGTGGTTCCTCAACAAAACAAAAATAGACCTACTATATGATCCATCCATATCACTCTGGTTATACATAAGAAATATATACCCAGGAATATAAGTCAAATACAATAGAACCACTTGCACACCCATGTTTACTGCAGCACTATTCACAACACTCAAGCTAAGCCAGGTTCAGAAAGACAAAAGTCACATATTTTCCCTCATATGTGGAAGCTAAACCTAAAAGATAAATGTATGTACGAATACATATATGTGATCTTAGGAAGAGAGAGAGACAGAACATATTTGTAATAATGGGTCTGAGGCAACTGGGTGAGGCAGGAGGAAAAAAAGAAATGAGAGAGAGTGAATAACATTGAAATACATTGCATCTGTGTGTGAAGACAGTATGATAGCATGCATTGAAAGCTACTGAATCAAAGGGGAACAGGGAGATGGAGAAACAGTAAGGAATAGAGGGGGTTGATCTGATTAAAGTGTGATATATACATGTGTTAATCACCAAGGTGAAGCCCCCTTGAACAATGAATACACACTTTAAAAAAATGAAGGACAGGAAGGTAAAAACAGGTCCTGTCTGCGGATGGGTACCAGTGGGAGGGGGCGGGTAAATGGAGAGGGTGAAGGAGGGTGAATATGGTTGATGCACTTTGTATACATATATGAAAGTAGAACAATGAAACCTGTTGAAATTGTTCTAAGGGAGAAAAGGAGGATGAGAATGATGGAAGGGGTAGATCTAAAAGTTAAACTGTAAGCACATATGTAAATGTCACAATGAACCCCCGGCTTGAACAGCTAATATGCTAATAAAAATGTTTTAAAAAATGGCAGCAAGACCCTTTCATTAAGCAAAAGGGCTGGGGGCATAGCTCAAGTTGTAGAGTACTTGTCTACTATGCATCAGGCCATGGGTTTAAATCCCTAGTACTCCAAAAAAAAAAGCAAAAAGAATAATTATTATTTAGTGTTTAGTTTTTAAGATGTGATAGTGATACTGTCATTTGCTTTTAAAAAGTCTTTATCTTTTACAGATAACAATAAAATACACAAGGATGAAACCATATGCAAATATGTACTCCAAAATAAGATGGCTGGGGGTACTGGGCAAGACTGGGAACCACAGACTGGCCATAAGTTCTCTGTTGAAGCTACGTGATAAGTATGTGGAAATTATACTACATCACACTTTTGTATTCATTTAAAATTCTCCATAACAAACGTTAATTAAAAATTTACCATTCTCAAGTCAAATCAACATCTCATCCTGATTTTTCTGTAACATAGCACTTAAGAGAATCAAGTGTAGATTTGAATTATCCAAAAGAATGAAGTTGTCAACTTAAGTAAAACACTATGTCAACTTACTAAAGATATAACATTGAAAAAATAAGTGAGGAAAGGGCAGAAAAGGGAAAATTTTAAAGGTTGTAGAAAATGTTTAGTATTAATATTTATTCTCTACACATAACTTTTAAAAATTTCTCTATCTGCTTTGCATGAATTTCTGCTAAATGATGGTTTCTGCCTCTTCTGGAAAACCATGTTCTATGCGTTTTCAAAATTATATCCCAGGCTTCATTTTTCCATTGAGTTATTGTTCACAAAGAGTAACTAATTTTTAGTCCTTTCTGCCTCTTCAATAAGTCTTTGAATCTTCTGGTTTATCTTTCACCTATTTGTTTTAGTATTAACACTTCTATCATTTCAGGAGCAGGGAATCAGGCTAGCCTCAGTAAGTTCACATTTTTCTACTGTATAATAAGTGATTTCAAAATCCTATTCTTGAGGCCACCAGGGGAGGCAATTCTTGTGTAAGAAGGAATATACTCATCTTTGCTTAATGCTATCTCATTATATTAGCAACAGTTTTTATTTAAATACACTTCCCATCTCAACACCCATAAAACACCATCAATTATAATTCACATACAAAAGTCAGGCACAGTTATTACAGCATCTACTACTAATAAAAACTTAAGCTGTTCCTATATAAGTTCCCATGAAGTTTCATTTGTATCTCTATCTTTCCTCTTACTCTTCTTTACGGGGAATACTCTCCCCCAGTTTCTTCACTGGAATGCTTTCCCCAACTTCAACTATTCTACAACACTCACTTCAAATACCACATCTTTTATATGGTACTCTTTAGCCTGCCACAGCTGGGAAAACTCATATTCCCAAATGCCTAGAGCTTTTGCATTATTCTGACCCAGACCACTTTTCACCTCATTTTTAATTATTTGCTTAACATGTTTATTTTTTCTTTACAATTTATATTACTTGAGGAAGGACCCCCAAAGGACCATGTGTGAAGGCTTGGTCCCCAGCTTAGTACTATAAGGAGGTGGTAGAAACTTCAAGAAGGGGGGCCTAATGAGAATTCTAAAGTTCAGGGAGTGTGCCCTTGGAGAGGATAGTAGGACCACAGCTCCTTCCTTATCTCTCTTTCACTCCCCACCATAAGGTGAAGAGTTTTGCTCCACTGTGCCTTTCTACCATGCTGTACTGCCTCATCACAGGCCCAGAGCAACTGGGCCAAATTGACCATACACTGCAAACTCCCTCCAAAACTGTGAGCTAAATTAACCTTCCCTCTCTGTGATTTGACGTCTGGAATTTGTTACAATAATGGAAGCTGAGTAACTCAAGGGCAGAGCCCATGTCCGATTTATCTTTTATCATCCTCTCAGTTTTAAAAATATACTAAACCTAGTAGATACTCAATAAATAACTCTTGCAGATAAAGCAGAAGGGGCATAAAGTGTTTAAAATACTTACTATATGGTTCTCTAAGCAGTGCAGGAGGTGAGAGTTTGATAAAATAGTCAAGCACACACAGCATTAACTGAAATGAGATCACCAAATCATCCTCCATTTGTAATACTTCCCCTGAAAATAAAAGAGTTACATTTTCAAGGAAAGTTAGAGATTGATATCCTTAAGTCAAGAAGAAATTGTAGAAATGGCTATATTCATATGTTCATTCATTTGATAATCACTGCAGGCATTATAAAGATTTTTTTCCTTCCTTTAAAAAAATAAAAGTCAAGTTTAAAATCCATAAATATAAAGTTATGAAATTATTAAGTATCATTATAATAATTAATTCCTTATGTCTAAAATTATGTTGCTTTTTTAAAACTTTTTTCCAGTTTTGGTATGAGCACATAATTTATTACTTCTGAAAATAATTTTGAAACATGATACATGCTAATCTTTAATTCTAATTATTTATGAAAACTCATATATTTTCAGTTTTAACACTCTCAGAAATATTATAAGAACCAAAGCCATTAAGAAATAACAAGCTGGGCATGGTAGATCACACCTGTAATCCCATCTATTCAGGAAGCAGAAACTGGAGGAATCACGGATAGAGGCCAGTCCAGGCAAAAAGTTAGTGAGACTACATCTCAATCAATAAGCCAAGTGTGGTGGCATGTGCCTGTGATCCCAGCTATACAAAGGCCATAGGTAGGAGGATCACAGTCTGAGACCGGTCCCAGGCAAAAAAACATGAGACCCTACCTGAAAAAATAACTAAAGCAAAAAAGGGTTTGGGGGCATGGCTCAAGTGACAGAGTGCCTACTTACAAAGTGCAAAGTCCTGAGCTTGACAAAAAAAAAAGAAAGAAAGAAATAACAAAATTAGGACTGGGTTCAGTGGTAAAACCCTTCCCTAGCATATGCAAGGCCCTGAGTTTAATCCCTAGCTCCACAAAAAAGAAACAGAGCGAGAGTGCATGCATGTATGCACAAGAGAGAAGAGAGAGAGAGAGAGAGAGAGAGGAAAGGAGGAAGGGAAGGGAAAAGATAAACAACAAAATTAATATCTAATTGTAAGGTCATCTATAAATAATTATTTTAGCACAAAATCCTAAAAGTTAATACAAATGGTAGAGGTAAACAACTATTGCTAGTTGACAAACAGATTCCAATATTCTGTGCTGAACCAGAATAAAATGAATCCTGACACAATACCATAGAAAAAGGAATTATAAGGCAGGTGCCAGTGTATCCTAGCTACATGGGGGGCTGAGATCAGGAGGACTGCAGTTCGAGGATTACACTTCTAGGCCAGTTCCATGAAATTCCATCTCAACCAATAATTGGATGCAGTGGCCTGTACTTGTCATCCCAGCTATGATAAGAAGCATTAAAAAGTGAAACCCTATCTCAAAATATCCAAAGAAAAAAAGGGCTGGTTGAGTGGCTCATGCCCTAGAGTACCTGCCTAACAAGCACAAAGCTCTAAGGTCAAACACCAGTGCCACCCAAAAAGAAAAAGGAATTATAGAGTTCATTCTAACAAAAAACTCAGAACCGCAAAGGCTTGTATCATTCCAGATATATTCCCTACTTTCTCCCTTACCTTGTGACTTAAAGTTAGGTATAATACCTGTTTGCATGCTGTAACTGGGGAACTCAGTGAATCATGGATTAAATACAAAGTGGGTGAAGAGAGACACACTCAAAGTACCTTAGAGAATACATCAAGTCAGGGTTAAACATATAAAGACCCAGAGAGATGAAAGAAAAAAGCACAGTGATTATGCAAATACATTACAAAAAACAAAACAGTATCACAATATAGGAACACAAAAATCAGCGAACCCAATGTAGAAAAGAATCTTTAAAAAAAAAAACCTATTAAGTTCTTGCATTAAGAACTTAATGACTTGCCAGGTGTGTAGGCGCCCACTTACAATCCCAGCCTCTGGAGGAGGGTTGCAAATTTGAGGCTAGCCTGAACTATGTAACAAGTTCCAGGCCAGCATAAGCTACATAGTAAGATCTTGTCTAAAAAGAAAGAATTTAATGAACTCAAATTATATAAAAGCGAGGATCTGGACAAGCTAAGAATAAACTGAGGACCAAATAACAGCATTAAAAATAGTTAAGCCCAAAGCAGAAGAAAGGCATAAGATAAAGCTAGCCAACACGTAAGAAAAACATTAGAATTTGAAAGAAGATAATAAATAGGGAGGACATAAACAATCCAACATAAGATAAAGATTCTATTCTGCTCCTGAAATAGAAAATAATGACACAACAGAATAATATTTTAAAATATATTAAGACTTCTCGAAGATCAGAATCTCCACTCTAAAAAGAAATACGGTGTTCCAAGAAAAACTAGTGTAGAAAAATAAATAAATCAGATATCCTGGTAAACTATTAAACCTCAAAATAAAAGTAGAAGAAAAAGAACTCTTCAAGTAGTCAGGAACTAAATGAGGAGGAGAAATTAAGCTACCCCAGGTTTCTTAGTAGCATTGTTCAATACCAAAAATAGTTCCTAAAGGAAACAAAAACATGACTCAAGAATAGGATACTTAGCCAAGCTGTCCTTCAGGTATAAAGGCCATGGGCACGATCTGCAAACATGGCAAACAGAACACAGCACTGAAAAGCCTATTAAAAAAACTCTGGTGGTAAAATTAAGCCAGCTAAGAAATGAATCAAAATAAAGGACTCAGAAATGGAGAAGCTATGATAAAGGAGATAGGATAAGCTTAGAATCCACTTAAGTATATAACTGAGACTAAACAAGTATAATAATTATAATTATAGACAGGATATAAGGACTGGAAGCTTGGCTCAAGCAGTAGAGTGCCTGCCTAGCAAGCACAAAGCCTGAGTTCAAACCTTAGTACCACCAAAAAAAAAAAAATTAGAATTTAAATATTATACTCTTTGATAATGACTAACAATAAAATGAACTAATGGGAAAATGAGAAGAGGAAAAGTAACAGGACAAGTGAGAACACTAACACCCTTCTTCAAAGCAGATTAATGTATATTGCTTAAAAATTATAAATATCCTAACATGTTAGTTTTCCATGCTTTTTCAATCTTAAGAGAAATATTTTAAGAACGAATACCACTTAAAGTGACAAAACACCTAAATTTAAGCAATTATTTCCATTTGTGTTATTTCTTTTCTTCACAAAATTAATTTTTTTACTTTAAAGAACACTAAAGTATAATCCCATTTTTTAAAAATATTATGTTTGTGAACATACTCATCTGCCCCTCAATTATGTATCTGGAATAATAATCACATAATTTTAATGACAGTTACTGGGTAAATTTTAGGTAATTTTTCTTTGTACTTTGCTATAGTTTAAATTATTTATCATGAGCAAATATTTTATAAAAACAGCAAAAGAGAGGGTTTGGGGTATAGCTTAGGACTAGAGTGTTTGTACAGCTTGCAGGGGACCCTGGGTTTGAGCACAGCACTGCAAAAAAAGAAAAAGAGCCAGGCACCAGTGGCTCATGCCTGTAATCCTAGTTATTAGGAAGGCTGAGATTAGGAGGACCACAGTTTGAGGCCAGCCTGGGAAAAAGTTCAAGAGACCTCCATCTCTAAAACAGCCAGTGCAAAATGAAGTGGAGGCATGGCTCAAATGGTAGAGCACCTTCTTTGCAAGTGTGAAGTCCTTAGTTCAAACCCCAGTCCCTCCAAAAAGGAGGGAGGGAGGGAAAAAGGGAGGGACAGATGGATCATTAGAAAAAGATATGAAATGAAACATTTCCAAGGTTGTTTGCATTAGCAGAATTGGAAGCTGGTAACAGCTAATAAGTCATGCAGAGAATGGGATGAATGTGTTAACTGAATAAATATTTTTGCACTTAGTTCCAAAGAACAATTTAATGAATACATTTGAAACATGTGAATGTAATAAACACAGAATTTACCTTTAGCTAGTAAAAAAGTGATCCAAGAAACTTTTAGGACCAACAGAGAATTTATTTCAGTAGATAGCCTAGGTAAACAAACAGAAAGCAGAAGAAAAATGAAAGAAAAATTTAACACTGGCAAAATTTTCAAACTATACCTTTGGAGTTGTTTTGTTTTAAATTACAGATCTGAGTTAAATGTATGATAGAATACAACCCATTTGAAATGCACAATTAACATTTCAACTCTATCTCAATTCACTGATGGTTTCCTAGATGTTATATAATACTATATTAATATATATTTATATGATGTCACTTTTAACCCATAGAACAGAATATATTTAGTATAGGAAATACTGAATACTTAATTCTAATCTTAAAAATATATAAAGGACAGGTTATACTATAATGCAATTGCTTTCAAATTACCTTGCTTTTTGTTTTCTAATTAATATCAACACTGTTAGCAGAAAAATGAAGGTTTGGGTGACTCAGGGTTTTCAGTTTAACACTTGGCCTTGATAACTTTTTCACATTCATTTGTTGGAATAGATACATATCAATTAATGAATAAATACACAATTTCCCTTTATATCAATCATTTTCAATGCCACTACTGCAATGGGGCAGAAAATCTCCAGTACCACTCACAAGTTATTTCTCCAAAGAAAGACTCTGGAGCTCTACATGGGGTGTAACTATTACAGCATGCATTACACATTTTTTAAAAATCTGGAAATTTTAATGTAGATCTTCAATTTATTCTTACATAAAAATTATGCTCTAAATGTTTAATAAAGTACCTGTGATGGACCCTCAGTAAAGATTTAATCGATGAATTACATTTTTCCCAGAGTTGGTGTTGCACTGAATCAACTTCCACCTTAGTTTTCCTTTGCAGTATAAGGCATGCATTTCTTGTTGTCACTGTTTTTGGCACTAATGGGATTTCAACTCAGGGCTTCATACTTGCCAGGCAGATGCTCTACTGCCTGAGGCATCCCTCCAGTCCACATGTATTTCTTTATAAGATAAATAATCTACATAGGACTAACTATGTAGTCAAACTAACCCTGGTGCTATCTAAATGTTTTAGATTTTCTAGAAAAATCATTTTTTAAAAAGTGAAAAATAACATGCTCTGAACTACTTACGAACTGCTGGGCTGTGTCAAATATATAAGTTCACATGTCCTGAAAGGAAGAAATAATTTCATTAACATTAAAAAAGTTACTTTCAAAATGTTTTAGTAACAAATCACAGCAATTTTATCATACTTTTATTCATCTTATTTCAAAAAGCAAACATTTTTAAAAACAAAAACATGTATGGTATTACGAAACACAATTAAAGTACATTTGTCCAATTTATGACATTTCACATCACTGTGATATCTAATTACAAAGGATTGGATTCCACATGTTAATTTTTATATCAAAATATCTTATAATTGATGATCTGGTTAAACCTCAGATCTGTTTATAGCTAATGACTATTTAACTAATAGTCATATATATTCACAGAGTCTACCCTATGTAAACAGTATCAGTTAATTTTCACAACACTCTCCCAAAAAAAAGGTACAAATGAGACAGGAAAAAAACAAACAAAAAAACCCTACAGATCCAAGGTCAGCAAAATTAATACTAAATTATGTCATGTGACCAGTGAATAAAAATCCTTTTTACAAAGCCCTCAGGGTTTTTTTTGGCAGTACTGGGGTTTGAACTCATGGCTTCACATTTGCTAGGGGCTCTTCTTCTTGAGCCATGCATACCTCTAGCCCTTCTTTTGCTTGGGTTATTTTGGAGATAGGGTCTCACTTTTTGCCAAGGCCAGCATGAACCACAATCCTCCTATTTTAAGCTTCCTGCCATCACTGGAAGGATAGGTACACACCACATGCCCTGTTTTTCTTCATTGAGATGGAGTCTTGCAAACCTTTTTTGCCCAGGCTGGCCCAGAACTGAGATCCTCTGGATTTCAGCCACTCACATGCATGACATGACAGGCACATACCACTGTGCCCAGTTACTGGTTGGGATGAGGATCTTGCTAACTTTTTGCCAGAACTGGCCTTGAACTGGTATCCTCCCAATGTGAGGCTCCCACACAGCTAGAATTAGAGGTGTGAGCTGCTGGCTCTGGGCAAGAGTAGTCTTTTAAGGCCAAATCTACGTGGAGTCCCAACTTCAAATCATTCAATGACTTTCTATTGTCTGCAAGTCAAAGTCCAAGCTCACTATCAATGTGATCGCTTCCCACCTTGCAGCCATTAGCAAAAAGCAAAGTTCATCCTGCTACCTATCTTTGTACACATGCTAGTCAGTGTGCTTGGCTGGCATGCTCAGTCTCAATTCCCACTCATTTCTCTGGCTGAGTTTTTATTTCCTTTAAACCCTATTCAGAAACTGCCTCCTTCTATAGTTTTTTCCTTGATCAAAATCACCATTACTAGTTACCCTTCTCCCTGTTAAGGCATGCAATATAAAACTTTGCTTGCTACATAATTCTTTCTATTTCTTAAAAATAATACTCTACAACAGAGCATCATTCATTATTGCATTTATTTTCATAAAAATGTAATTTATTTACTGTAAGTTTCTTGATGATTATAGTATCATATGTACCTAACATACAGCTGGACACCAATACTTAGTTAAGGCTGTTGAGGTTAGTTTATTTGCAACAGCTCTTAGTGTAAAGTTTCTTAAAGTATATTCCACAAAATACTTCTTTCATAAGATTTTGATTGATGTTAAATACACTTAAACATAAATAAGTAGGGTAGTAGATCAGGAAATGCTAAATTCAACCAAGCCCAACAGATTTATTCTATAGGACTTCTAAGAAACTTGGGTAGCCAATGTACATTGTGACTGTCTAAGAAGGAGGCACAATATGCAGCATTTCCTAAACTGGGCAGAAATTTTTTGTTTTAAAAGCTAACACTCATGGAAAACTTACTATGTTTAAACTAGGTGCTGGACTCAGTGCTGTTTTTGCATTATTTCATTTAATATATTAAAAACTTAACAGGTAGGTAGTATTATCAATTTAATTTAGGCATTAGAAAACTAAGCACTAAAGTCAGGTTAACTCACTTGTCCAAGATCACACAGTACATGTTGGAGTCCAGATTAGAATCCATATCTGTCTGACTCAAAAGACTCCATTCTCCAAGCTCTACTAGAGCTTCTCTTTTTTTTTGGAAGGGCATCACACCAGACTACTGTTTTGAAGAAAATTCTTTGGGAACTCTGGTCCTGTGTCCTATTTACTAACCTGGAAACATCGCTGTTTATACTGCCCTTTAGGAAAAACATAGGGAATAGGATGTAGGAAGATCCTGAACACTTCCACAATGTCCATATAATATTTTAATGCTTTCATATTTCAATATAATAGTTGCAATATTCAACTTTAACTTTCCTTTCTTACTCTGTTACCTGAATTTTTGGTCATCTAAGCAATCCTCTATAATTTTATTCTCCCCACCCATCCAAACTAACTATTTATACCCCTCAAAATATAGACACAAAATAAATATACATTTTAATAGTGTCTTAACATTAACCTGAATGTAAAAAAGGAAAAATACTGTATTACTTGATTTATAGATCAAAGCATCTAATCAAAGTAGACTATAAATTCTGCAATTACCTACTACATTATTCCAATTTTTTAAAACTTCTTTAAAATTTTTATTAGTGTATATTAATTGTAAAAAGGGATTTCATTGTGATATTTCCATATATGCATATAATGCACTTTATCGAAATCACCCCTTTTATTACTTTCTTATCCATTCCCCACCCATTTCCCAACTTTTCTCATCTTCCATCACACCTCTGAAGTTTTAGTAACAGACCAATCAAGAAGAAGGAAAAGGAAAATCAGATGCATGCTTCTGGGAAGATACAAGAAGCATCTCTCCAGTTTTGTCTCCATCCTCATACTCCCTAGAGTATCAAAGGACATGCCACTTTTTCCCTTTCCAATCTCATTACACCAGTACTTATTTAGCTAAAATGTTAACCTGAAGATGCACAAGTGCAACAAGCTCCAAAACAAACGTAGTAGCAGACGTGTGCCATGTTAAGGAGTACAGTGCCTAGGATAGGAGACCACAGGGTGGATGAAAAGCACAACAAAACATAGCCCATGCTTATTCATTCCTCTCCCAGGTGAACAGCAATGGAGAGATCTCTTCTAGATGACAGGGAGCACGAATCATAACTTGGTAGTACAGGTAGGCTCTTCACTGCCAATGTGGTATTTTTTCCCCCTTCTAAACCAAATAACACCATGGGAAGAAGTTAAAATTTAGGTCATTGTTCAAAACTAGAAGTCTCCCAAGTACATAGGTTTAAAGCCTGAGAAAACAAATGAAAAATGAAGGGACAGTAAAATGGCTGATTTTGGAGCAAGCATTCAGAATGTTTACTACTAAACAAGAAAGCTAAGAATTAGCAAAGGAGACAAGTCTGTAAGATAACACTTAATAACTTTATTAAATACGTAATAGGTCCCAGATTGAATCTAACTAAACAGTGACTTCAAAAACCAGGTTATAACCTTAATAAAATTTTTACTTTACCTTTCTAATTTGCTGTAGAGTGCACACAACACATTGTACTTTTTCAACAGTCTTGACACAGCATTATCAACTTTGGTGCTGGTATCAATTTCTTTTAGAAGATCAAAGAATTTATAGACACTGCAAAGTAAAGAACAGAAAAAAGTGAATCAGTAACTTCCAAAATTTGCTTTATTTCATCCTCAAATCATAGACATTCCAATTCAAAAGGTTATCAGCTCTGCACCAAATCACTATTGTGTCCTTTAGAATGAATAATTTTTTTGCATTTTACTAGACTCTGAAGAGGGAAGAATCAAATAGCCTTCAACCCATGCTTCAATATCTATATTCTATCTCCATATATCTATGTTTGTATTGATGTGTGATTGAGACTATAGAAAAAAACAAAGGTCACAAAGGGATACACACATCTGTATTTCTAAACTTATCTGTATGGGTTTTTAATTAAATTTATTTTTAAACTGATACAGAAAGACACAAAATTGTACACTAATTAATGCATATGTGTAATGTTTTGATACATGTACACATTGTGTGATAAGGTTAAGCATATCTATCTCCACAAACATTTACCACTTCTATAGGGCAAAAACAATCAAAATTCTTCCTTTTAGCTTTTGGAGATATACAATACACAATCACTATATATAGTCACTCTGTATCTGTATGTTTTAAAACCATGGGTTCAATTCCAATACAAAACAATATGGCTCTTTCTAGTGTTTCCCTTTCCATATTTGTAATTTTTCTTAAAATCCTTTCCTCCCCACTTACTCATGGAATCAATGAGCCACCCACTCCCCCATGTGGACACTCTCCTCTCCTACTCAGAAAGACTCTCCACCTGGATTGCCTCACCCATTTCAGTACACATCTTCCTTACTCGGGCAGGGCTCTGACTCCCCACTCAAGGCTTCCCTCCTCATCTCCTGTTACTATGACTCCTGGCACCAGCTGCCCACACATCCCATTTGGTCTCTGACACTGCACACAAGAAGCCCATGTCAGTTGCCCCTACACATACATGTGGCTGCCTGTCTCTCCTCTGACTCTGACATCTTCTCTGGGGCCCTGCCATTCCCCTGCCCCAATGCACAAACTGACAATCTTTGCCCTCTAATAGTTCTAACACCAAATTGTTGGGGAAAGGAAAAGTAAAGCTGATTAAAATTTTAAGTGGTTTAGCTTGACACCAGTGGCTCATACCTGTAATCCTAGCTACTTGGGATGCTGAGATTTGGAGGATCAAGGTTCAAGGTCAGCCTGGGAAAACAGTTTGCAAGGCCCCACCTCCAAAATAACCAGAGCAAAATGGACCAGAGGTGTGGCTCAAGTGGTAGAGTGCCTGCTTTACAAGCGTGAAGCCCTGAGTTCAAACCCCAGTACCAGACACACATACACAAAAAATTAAGTGGCTTAAATAATGACTTTTAGTCATTCATTAACGTTTACTATAAAAATTAAATTTTGAAACATCAAATGTATGTATATACATTTTTCAATAAGGCACTAAAGATAACAATCATCAGTTGCATCTCATGTGCTAATTTCTAATCAAGTCTGTGTAGGAATTATACCAAAACAGCTAAATGAATCAAATCGTATAGGCTGGCCAACAAACAACAAAAGTTTTAGCTGAGCCAGAATAAGCAGCCCATGCCTATAGTCCCAGCACTTGGAAGTCTGAGGAAGATGGATCACTTTAGTCTAGGGGTTCAAGACCAGCTTTGGCAGCACAGCGAGACCACATTTCAAAAAAAAATTTTTTTAAGCTTCAGCTAATCAGCAGGGGGCACAGAATCCCTCTGAACTTTGCCAAAGACTTTAAAAAGTTCCCATAATATACATTATATAGAAGAGATGAGGGCAATTCTGATTAACTATATGGAAAAGCAAATAAAGTAATAAAAATGAGAGAAGATAAATAAAAGACCAGGATGTTCATTAGAAAAGAGTGGGGTAAATGTGTAGAGCCCAGAGAGAAAGAAACCAACCTTAGAATAGCATTTATTAAAGAACCACTCTCAGTTTCCATTTTTTATGAGTTGTACATCAATACCAGTCCTGAGAGAAGCATGAAAAGGTCTTCTTATTCTAGGGGTAACTAAAAAGGAGGAAAGAAAAAAGGAAGGAAGGGAGGGAGGGAAAGAGAAATAGAGGAGGGAGCATGTACCTGTGGTGTAACAACCATTTACTCTTTGAGGTCTTTAAGTAATATTGGATATTTATGGATATACAAGGCCTTTGCTTCCACATTTTATTTAGAGGTAGTAAGAAAAAGTGATATCAAATTTAGCGATTTAATCTAACTCATATAAATAGAACAACAATTATGTTTAATTCTAGATGGCTTTACTTAAGAAGAGATTTTATTTAAGAATTACCAGTCGGGTAAAATTATTTACTGTTGTATTCTGTGAATATGCTGCAAAGGAAATGACTGGAAGTCCTGAAGTTTGCTCAAGACAAAGTTCATGAATTACTGGGAAAAATTAATATCCTCTTTTAATGCTGACAATCTCAACAAAACATTTATCAAATGACTATTGGACCAAGCAATGTAGTGTATACTCTACCAAACATACAGGAATTATTATATCTACTGTGCTAAAATCTTAAACTTAAAAAAAAATCTTATCAAAAGTCCCTTAAGATAGGCTTACACTGTTTTTATAAAGGTTTTAATGTGTAATAAGCCTGCTTTATAAATCCTTGCCCTTTTGGTCCAATTTACCATCAGCTATAATTAAGAAGGTCTACAGATGAACAGTGAGAGACAGACAAAAATTTTCCCAACACATGAACTGCTACATTTTTAAGAAATGCAACATAAACTTTCATGAAGGGTTCCATGAGAGAATGACAACACACTACTTGACCAAGTCCTTTATGTTTTACTTAATTTTAGCATTTCCCACTAATTTCCTGAAGTCTATTACAAGAAAAGTTCAGACACAGTTTGTTTTTTCTTTTTGTTTTATTGGCAGTACTGGGGTTTGAACTCAAGTCTCACACTTGCTAGGAAGGCAGTTGCTTTACTTATTTTTTAGATAGGGTCTATTGTTTTTCTCCAGGGCCAGGCTCAGACTTTGATTATCCTATCTATACCTTCCAGTAGCTGGGATTACAGTGATGCACACCATGTCCAGTTCATTGGTTAAGAAATAGTCTTACTAAACTTTTTTTGCCCAGGCTGGCCTTGAACCACAATCCTCCTGATATTGGTCTCCTGAGTAGCTGGGATTACAGCTGTGTGTCACTATGTCCTGGATCAGACTTTTTTTTTTGTTTTTTTAATGGCAGAGGCCAAAATTTATGTAAGAAATTTTACCTGGTTTCTATGTTTTTCTGTAGATCAGTAAAAGTGAATGGCATCTCATCTAGGTCAACTGCTGCAATAAAAATACAGATTCCCCAAAGTTCCTTTTTCTTTTGAATATAACCTTCCTGGGAACAACAAAAGAAAAGTTCAAATATTTCATTAAATCATTCGCACATTAAATACTGTGTTAAAACTTTATTAAATGTGATTTTTTTCTTATTCAGCGTAACAAAAATGTGTTTTTAAATCCTTATAATGGCATAGACTTGAAAAATATTTAATTCTACATTAATAAACATCCAAATTTTAGATTATAAAGCAAATAAAATTACAAGATCAGAAAGCCAAATCACAACTTCCTGGGGAAACTTGAAGTTCAGTCAGTTCTTTGAAATACTTTCCTTTTTCAATAACTTAATCTCATCAAAGCTAAGTTAAAAGATTTTGAATTTAAAACATATAAATTGAAAAATGGGCCTTTCTTATTTGATTATCCTTCCTTTGCTCAAGTTCATTAATTCTTTTACTGATTTCTTCATTCAAATATTTTCTAACCTTGTGTAATTCTTATCTTACTTCCTGAAATGCCTTATTTGGAAAGTGGAAATAACACTAATTCCACACTTCATAGAGCATTAACTGCGTTAGCAAAGTGTCCCGCATATATTCAGTACTCCATGAGGGCGGCTATCATTATCACTGAATACCCTTCTCATCACTACACTATTTCCCCCAACAATAGATACTACCTTCTAAATACATAAAACTTGAGGTAAAATTTTCATCAGATTCAGTTGAAAACAATAGAAATGTCAAATTGTCCTGAAGTCTAGTAAGCAAAACTATTTGCTTATTCTTAACTCTAAAGAAAACTGAGAAGGTAAGTATGTGATACAATTTTACAGTTTTGAAACCTCAGCTTTAGGATAAAGTTTTTCTGGATTATCAAATTTTGTGGATAAGTTTACCATCATCCATCTCCAAACTTTCTCTTAATTTTAGTTTATAATATGAGCATTTTAAAACATATATTACAACTACACACACCCTAGAATGGTTAAAATAAAAAAGAATGACAATAACAAGGGTTGGTAAAGATGTAGGCAAATGAATCACTAAAACATTAATAATTAAATTAAACTATTAATGGTAAGAGCACTTTGGAAAACAAACATGTCCATTATAAAGTTAAATATATACTTTCTATAAACACCTAGCAATTCCACTCCCAGCTATCTGTACCCAAGAGAAATGGAAACATTTTGAATCAATGTTTGCAGCCGCTTCCTTCACAGTACCCAAAACTAGAAACAACTCAAATAACTCCAAAAACAGGTGAATCTATAAACAAAGTGTGGTATAACCACATTTTTATATTTTAATTTTTTATTAGACAATAAAAGTCCTAATAAATGTAACAATATAAGCAAGTCTCAAATTTATTATAGTGAGAAAAAGCCAGACAGAAAAGGATACATTACATTCCTTTTGTATGAAGTTCTAGAAGAGGCAAAACTAATGGTGAATGTGAGAAAGCAGGTGATGCTTCATGGCTTCCTGGGACCAGAAGGAAAGTGTTGGGGAAAACTGCACAGGGAAATGAGGAAACTTTCTGGTGGGATCAAAAAGCTCCATATGTCAAAACTTACTGAATGATACACTTAAAATTGATGTAAGTTTTAATGTATGCAAATTATTCATCAATGAATTTGATTCTGAAACTATATTCCATACTTACGGTTTCTGAAACTGAACAAAACACTGATTCATTCTTTTTTTTAAATTTTATTTATTTATTTATTTATTTATTATTATTCGTATGTGCATACAATGCTTGGGTCATTTCTCCCCCCTCCCCCAAACCCCTCCCTTACCACCCACTCCACCGCCACCCTTTCCCCCCCACCTCCTCAATACTCGGCAGAAACTATTTTGCCCTTATCTCTAATTTTGTTGAAGAGAGAGTATAAGCAATAATAGGAAGGAATAAGGGTTTTTGCTGGTTAAGATAAGGATAGCTATACAGGGAGTTGACTCACATTAATTTCCTGTGCACGTGTGTTACCTTCTAGGTTAATTCTTCTTGATCTAACCTTTTCTCTAGTTCCTGATCCCCTTCTCCTATTGGCCTCAGTTGCTTTTAAGGTATCTGCTTTAGTTTCTCTGCGTTGAGGGCAACAAATGCTAGCTAATTTTTTAGGTGTCTTACCTATCCTCATATCTCCCTTGTGTGCTCTCGCTTTTATCTTGTGATCAAAGTCCAATCCCCTTGTTGTGTTTGCCCTTGATCTAATGTCCGCATATGAAGGAGAACATACGATTTTTGATCTTTTGGCCCAGGCTAACCTCACTCGGAATGATGTTCTCCAATTCCATCCATTTACCAGCGAATGATAACATTTCATTCTTCTTCATGGCTGCATAAAATTCCATTGTGTATAGATACCACATTTTCTTGATCCATTCGTCAGTATACACTGATTCATTCTTATGATAACTATTAAGTAGATACTTCACTAAAATGAAAAACAACTTTTGTGTATGTTTATATGAATAGGCCAATTTCTCGGGAACTACTAAGATATGAGAGGTTGTTTGTCTGTATAATAAATAATCCTCAATATCCACTTTTTGAACTTTTATGCTTACTTCTTTTTTTCTTCTTTTGGCAGTACTAGGGTTTGGACTCAGCCTCACACCTGCTAGGCAAGCTCTCCACGACTTAAGCCACTACTTCACCAACCCTTTTTTGTGTTGGGTATTTTTGAGACAGAGTCTAGCTTTTGTTGCCCAGGCTGGCCTCAAACCTCAATCCTCCTAATCTCTGCCTCCAGGGTAGCTAGGATTATAGGTATGAGCCACCAGCGTCTGGCCATACTTACTTCTTATCATGCTTTTGTTTGCTTGTATGCGCTTGGCTATCATCTATTGAATGTGACTGTTTTCAGTGTGCCTGCTTATAAAAACTTGTCTTTTATCTTTTTTCCCCTCTTTTAAAAGCTGATAAATGAAAGAACTAATATTGCTAAGATTAAGTATGTTGTTTACTTATTTTTTTTAACACCAAAAATAAAAAAATTTCGTGGTGCTAGGGATTGAATCCAGGGCCTCACACATGCCAGACAACCATTCTACTACTGAACTAATTCACAGTCCTAAAATATCAAATTTTATTCAGACGCAATTTAAAAAATGCCTCAATGAAATGTTTCATAAATAAGTTCTGATTTTTAAAAAGCTGAGGAAGTTCCCTATGAGCAAAATATGACCCTTATTTCAGATATGGCATATGTTTTCACTTTCTTAAAGACTACATTTCAAAGAGAAGTTTTTAATTTTGATTAACCTCACAGTGCATAAAACCTCACACAATGACCACAGGGCTTGTTGTTCTGGTAAGCTCCAGCCCTTATCTCCCAGTGGTGACTTTCAACTTAAAATCTGTAACTGATGTGTCCATTCTCACAGCGTGGAATACCACATACACCAAATCACACCCTTTCACTACACACACTATGCTGCTGAGGTTCTTATCTCAGCCTGAAAGATGTGTTTTCTTGGAATTTAAGATGAAAATTATGAAAGGGGGCTCAGAATAGTACTTTAAAAATTGTTAAAGCAATTCTTAGTCAAAACAATCAAAAGACAATAAAACTTGGAGGAAAAAAATGGGCAAAGAAAAAGCACTTTGAAAAATAAAAAAGTATTTTCAACAAGCATATTTGGAAAATGGTGAATAGCATGATAGTGTCAACTGAAGGATATTTTATTAACATGTACCAAGATCATTATGAGTTCAGCTTTATATAAAAGAACTTATCCAGTAAAAATACTGGAGAGTTGAGTCAAGATTTATGCGACAAATATTCAAAAAATTATTTATAGTAGCGAAATTAGTGGGAAACAAATATCTTAAAATAGAATGGTTAAATAAATGTTGGTGCTACCTCATGGAATAACATAAAACCTCTACAACATTTTCAAAGAATGTTAAAAACACATTAGAAAATACCTAATATATAAAGTTAAGGGACAAAAGGCACCAGAGTACAAAATTATTTGCTTATTTTGATTCTAATTTTGTGAAAAACCAAAAAAAATAAGGAAAAGAATGCAAAAAAAATATGAAAATGTAATGATTATCTCTAGATTTGGTAGGATTTATGAACTTTTTTCTCATTAATCTAGATACATTTTCTCAGTTAGCTTCAATTGTAAAATCAAAACTTGGTAAAAAATGCTAAGTTTATATAACACAGGAGAGAAAAATTAGGAATACTTCTTGGGGAATTCTTAAACTATCAAAACTTTAATTACATATATTACAGTTTAAATCAAAATCTACAATGAACATTTGAAGAAGCTACCTACCTTGCTACTATTTAGTTGAATCCATTTGAACCACCCTAACCATATACTATAATAATAGCCTGTAAGTACTTGCTTTTTTTTTTTTAAACAATGCACTTACTTATAAAATAGCTCCACCAAGTGGTAACATAAATCATCTTGGAAAAAGAAAATGTAGGCATAAGAAAATAACTACTACTTAAGCTGTCATAACTTAACATGAATTTGAAATGCAATTTCCCTAGTTAAAAATAATATTCTCTCTAACCTGTATGAAAGATGAAAACAAGCCACTAGAAATACCTCAGGGTCCAAGGATACATCCCTACACTCAATTCATGAGACTCTAATGAGAGGTTAGCAATAAGGTCATATTAAAAATATTACAGAATGGTATTGCAGCAAAACTGGAAAAAAAGCTGCCTTTATCCTTTATGCCTGGATTTCCTTTTCACATAGGTTTCAGATGTGAACAAGAGGAATAACATGCAATATGCCAGAAAGTCCCCGTCCCCCCACCTTACTTGACTAGCATTAGGTGACAGCAGTCTAATGCTAAGGTCAATGTGAAGTAAAGTGCAGAAGTGGCACAGCCACAGAAGGAATGCAAAAGCTGACTCTGCTTGAACTCACACTTTGATAGGATATGCTGGGGTTGATCCACCTAAATCAACCATCCACTTACACAATACCTTTGAGGATAAAGTTGATTCTACTCCCAGAACAACATGTACCTGGCAGGTTCAGATTTACCTGGGCTTCTGCCCACAAGATG